TATTATGAATTTCAAAAGTTGATTTATCAACAACTGATGGATTCATGATAATAAAATATTATTGTTCTTATACTAATTAATTAAATTATTTTATAACTAAAAAAAAAAAAGAACACTTTTAATTCTTGATATTATTTTATTTTAAACTATAATTTTTTTTGATAACGTAGTTGATTACTTAAAATATAGCATATAACTGAATAGAAAATGAGAATGTTTCTCATTTAAATACAATAAAAATGAACACATAGATTATGCGTTTTAACACATCGATTTTTAACTAGAATTTATTAAATTTATATATTATTAATTATATTATACATACCTACATTATATTATATTATATTCCTATCCAATCCACCGTCTATCTAAACCTAACATATCTCGTTAAAAATCGACGCGTTAAACCGCACGGCTACATGCTCACGAATATATTGAATACAAATTAAACTATATAAATAGAATATAATTTTATTTATAAAATATATATACTTATACATAATATAAAAATGAACATAATATTTTTAGCATACAAATTAAACCATATAAGTAGAATATAATTATATTTATAAAATATATTTACTCATGCATAATATAAAAATAAATATCATATTTTTAATTATCAACTTCATCACATGGAGAATAATTATGCATGTTACAACAGTTAAAACTTAAATTCTTATACTTAAATTTATTAGTAACATCGTTTATAAAATTAACACCTTTACTTAATAATAAGAAAGTACAATTGTTTGAAAATTTTGCATGTTCACGAAAAGGACAATCTCCATTAAGCCAATTACTTAATATTAAACCACAATAGAAACATTGAACTGAATCTCTAGTTTTACCGAAAAATCCTGCCTCTGATAGTTGTAATTTATCAGGTAAAGATGATGGAAATTTATTAAGTGATTGTAACCGTTTTGTAAAAGTTACAAGAACTTGAATCTTTATGATAAATACATCGAGGTAGAGTATTATCAGTTTGTAATTGATTTAACAGCGGACATTCAAGGTCTTCTAAATTTATTATTGTAATGTTTGATATGAACTTTTGTAAAATCTGTTGTTTTTGTAATCCTTTCACATGTATACAGTCAAATTTTAACGATTTTAAAATCTCGTTGAGTTCACCAGTCTACGTCTCCGTATTCGAGAGGAATTTCATGATAATACCTCATCAACCATCTTTTAACATTTTGAGATTTTGTATCTTGTTTAATTGAAGTATGCTTAAATATCCAATGTTGAATAGCTAATGATTCTATGTCTACTATAGACATCTTCTTCATAAAATATTTATTATTTACTCCAAGAATACATTGAACATCTATAATAGCCATTCTAATAGTTTTTTAATTAAAGTATTCTGAAAATAAAAAAAGTTGAAAATAAATTTGATAATTCATTAAAATCACTTGTACAATTTATTTAAGAATTTATAATGAAAAGATTAATTTAGTATAAGATATTAAATTAAAAAAAATTAATTAAACAAAATATAAGACTTACCACACAATAGTTAGTAGTAGACTGATACTTCATGAAAAAAAAAAAAAAAAACATAAATAAATATATAAAACTTTGATAACTATGATTTACTATTATTTTCTAATATAATAGATACCGCCGTCGTCGATGTATACATCATTATTAGTTTTATCTGAATTAAGTGGCATTGAACGTAAATAAATGTTGTATAGATATGATACTACTACTACTACTACTACCACTGACCGTGTTATTTAATAATATTGCTGGGATCCTGGTACTTAATAATATTATTTTACCGATTTAATTCAAGTTAAGGTATAGAAATGTTGAAAAAAAAAAATTAAAATAAAAAATAAAAACATAAACATAAAACTTTGATAACTATGATTTACTATTATTTTCTTCTTTAATAGATACCGTCGTCGTCGTCGATTTAAACGTGATTATTAGTTTTTAATATCCCTCCTTAATAGTTCTATATTCTACAGTTGTTAAACCGAATTAACTGACATTCAAAGTAAATAAAATGTCGTGTATATATGATTCTACTACTACTACTGACCGTGGTATTTAATAATATTGCTAGGATCCTAGTACTTAATAATATGACTTTACCGATTTAATTCAAGTTAAGTCGTTAAGTGTTAAAAAAAAATGGACTCAGAACCTACAAATAGAACGTTAAAAAAATGGACTCAAAACCTACAAATAGAATGTTAAAAAAAAAATGGACTCAAAACCAACGAATATAATGTTTGAAAAAAAAAATGGACTCAGAAGCCCTGGATACCCTGGATATATTTTAAAAACTAAAAAAAAAATCTTGAAAAAATGGACTCAGAAGCCCCCTAATACTACTACTAGTACGTATTCCATCGTCTTGTTTCAACTATTGTTCGTTTTATTCGTTGGGTTGCTATCGCGCGGTATTCAATACGTACGACTGACGTCAATAAATTTGTATTTATATCCAGTCATTATCAGTGTTATCGGTAATATAATGAACGAAATTGAAAACGCGGTAAAAGAGAATGAGCGTCAGCGATATCAGAGGCGTACGAAAAAAGCCATTGGAGCGCTTTCAGACGAGACACTTTGTGGCCGGCTACAAGAATCTTGCCACTGTACACAAAAAGTAGACATTCAGTTGTTGAAAACTGGATAGTGGTCGGTGATATTGAGTATTATTTTGTGTATGGTGAATTAAGGGTGACATGAGGATACTGCTTATTAAGTTGACAATATGGATCAAAATTCAACGTCATACCTAGAGGTTTTTTGCATCTGCAATCCATTAGATATAGCTTGCATAATATTCGATTTTACTGACATTTTTAAATGGGCAGGTACTTGCTTAAGGTCATCAACAAGTGACAACATAAACAAGCGATCTGGATCTTCCATGTATACTTTTTCTCTGCGCTCCCTTTCTTGTAAACTTTTGTTACAGAGTTGAAAAATTCATTTTCAACAGTTTTTTTGCTTTTTAGCGGGCTTGTGACGTAAAACATTTTCTAAAACTTCTCCGGTAGTTTCATTCAAGTCGCTATTAACTTCTTCAATGTCATTTTCATTTTCATCTGGAGAATCATGTGTTGAACTTAAATTTGAAGTTGTTAGCTTATGTGCTGCACAAGAAGAAAGAAACGATAATTGATTATAATAAACATATGTTTTCCATGTACTTCCTCCTGACCCAGATTTCAAATTCTTTCTTTTAGCATGTTCTCTAGAAAATGAGTTTCTCAAATTCTTCCATTTCCTTGGTAACTCTTGCACTATAGTGTAAAACATTTCATAATTTATATTTTGTTTGTAGGTTAATTATTTTTATTAAATTATATAAATAAAATTTAGTAGAAGTGTCTTAAGAAATTTTTTGTTATTTATCGAATATTCTTTATTTCCAGGTATCTTGCGTCAGGATGTACATTAACAGAACTTCATTACGATTACAGAACTGGAGTATCTACATTGAGTAATATTATACAAGAGACTTGTATTGCAATTTGGGATAATTTAAAAAATGTATGTTTGCCAGCATAGGCGGAACTAGACATTTTAATTAGACTGAGCCACTCATGAGAGTCATTTTTCACCTATCATACTCAAAAGAAATAAGGGTGGAGAGTGATATATGGAACATTAATGTTTTTTTTTATTACAATACAACTGTATATAACATAGGTAATTATTGAATGTTATAAATCTAAAATTGTATCACTTATAAGTAATAATATAAACTAAAATGTTTCATGTGAAATACAGATACTAATAATATTTAAAATTGTATCTTAAAGTTAAGACTTATAAAGCTAAACGACGTTCATATGGGACCATTCTTTTAAATTCTTCGATCACATCATTAATGTCGACATTTTTTGCCATGGTTTGTTCAATATATGGAAGCATTAAATTTTCCAATCGCCCTTGAGTCATTGTCGTCCGTAGCTTAGTTTTAATATGTGTTAGCTTCGAAAAAGCTCTTTCACACGAAGCACTTGTGACTGGTATGACAGAGAAACCTTTTAATACTTTTCTATGCTGAAAAAAAATGGTCTCAATACCATTTTCTCGTAACCATTTTAACCAAAATGCACAGTCTTTATTAGTAAGAATATCATCTTTGTTTCGTGCCTTCAAAAGATGTATTTCACTTACAAATTCGTCCTTTGATAAATCAAAATGATTTGTCAATAAATTAATGTCATCTTTGCTCAATTCAAATTTTAACATTTTCCCCACACCAGTAATGATTGAAGTGCTTTCTTGATTAAAACGTTCGTCAATTCCTTGTACTAATGAATCAATCAATGGATACATTGTAGAAACTCGGATTTCCTCTTTCTTGGTCTCAAATACAAACTGATTTTTCCAATTTTCATCTCTACGTGCAGGCAGTTTTCTAGGTCTGACTGATGGTATGTTTACGCCATGTTCTTCACAAATGTGCTGACTTTGATCATAAATATCATCATAAAATAAACTATCGGAACGCATATTTTCTATTGCCAAACGAAGACACTTAATCTCTTCCAAAGCTGTCAAAATACTTAATCTGGGATCTTGAAGTACTCTACTAACTTTTACAATCAACTGTAGAATAGGATGCATCAGTTCGAGACAGATGATAAAATTAAAATTTAAGCATTGGGAAATAATACCTTTTCCTTTAGCTTTTATTTCTGGTTGCTTAGTTGAATAATTTATTTCATTAACTGTCTGAATTATAACCGAGAAGTGTCTCGAATTGCTGTTACAGCTTCTGCCCTACAAGCCCATCTAGTTGTTGAAAGGGATTTTAAAGTCTTTAATTTTACACCAACACTTTTTTTGAATTTATTCAAAAACCGCGTGTCGAGATGGACTGCCTTCAATAAAATTGTATATTATTTGAACTGTTCCAAAAAAAATCAAAAATCATACTATTCTCTTTACGCGAAATGCAAGAATCTACAAGTACAAGGTTTAAGCAATGAGCAAAACAGTGTACGTATAATATTTTAGAGTTTTTTTTCTTTACATCGGAATTGAACTCCAGAAATATGACCTGCCATTGCGGCTGCGCCGTCGAAACAAACGGAAGAAACAGAGAGCCAATCGAGTTTTAACTTATGGACTATTGTGTTTAAAACATTAAAAATGGATTGTGCATCAGTAGTTTCTAGACGCTCCAGAGAGATGAATAATTCGATAGGTTTATTTTCTACATCATCAAAATATCTTACTACGATTGCCATTTGCTCAATGAGACCACAGTCACTAGTCTCATCAGCCATAACTGCAATCTGTTGACCATTTAACCTCTTGCATATTTCTTGAAACATCACATTATGAACTGAGGCTATTAATTCATTTTGAATCTTTCCACTCAAATAGTGTGCGTTCTTAGGCCCATGTTCTAAATGATTTTTTATAATAGGATCGTATCGTTTGAGTAGATCTACGATTTCTAAAAAATAGTCCTTTATTCACATTATCTTCATGCTCAAGATGTCCTCTGAATGAACTTCCGCTTTTGGTTAATATAATTATAACATCAATTAAACGTTTGATGATGTCCCGGTTTTCTAAACGTATTTTTTCACGAGCTGCTAATGTGATTTCTTTTTGTTTATCCAACTTAACATCAATGGGAATTCCTTTTTTTAAATGTTCCCACGACATCACACTATCAATATGACATTGTGACTTCTCGTGTAGTCTAAAAGCTTCAGTGGCACCTTTCCAATTAGTAAAACCTTTCTTTATAAACGATTGATCGATATGACCTTTTTTAATTATATTATTCGAAGAGAATGCTCGACAACAAAAACAAAATGCTGCGTTTATACTTTCACTGTATTCTAACCATTTAAAAGTTTCGTACCATGATTTTTGAAAAGAACGAAATCGATCCCCGAATTTTACTCTTGGATAAAGAGATAAGTGGACTTGGCAGGGCCCTTTGAGTAATTTTGAGTGTCTTTTTAAACGATCAGATGGTAATGGTAAAGCTAGGTCATTATGTTCAATGAAAGATGTTTGCAACTTCAAATTTTCGGATTTCAAATGATCAGAAGGCAATGCAATTGCTGTGGTATTTTGAACTTCAACAGTTTTTAAATTGGAATTTACTGATTCCTTGTTTGGACTTTTTCGGATAATATATCTAAAAACCAACCAATATATAGATTTTAGAATATATTATGCCTGTCCTAGACAATTCTGTATATTATTAAACAATTTATAAAATCGTTTTATATTGTAATATGGACAAGATTAGAATCAATATTAGTGTATACAATTTTATAACTAGGGCGCGGATTGTTATGTAATAAAAGTCAAAATATGTTAATATTTATGATTTTTTTTTTTTTTTAGCAAAATATGTATTAAAAAACTTGAAATATTTATTTTTTTTTTTTTGTTAGTAATATAATATAATAGAACTAGTAATTCAATTGTGAACAACTGTGCAAAATGAATAAGTAATAAATAATGAATAATAATGTTACATTTTACATTTATGTTACATATATTGTACTGTTTTATTATCAATAACACTAAAAATAAAATAATTAAAATGGTTTTTACTATAAAATGATTGTAGTTCTTTAAAGGCTTAACTGCTGTTAGTCTGTATGCAATAAGCGAGTTGGTGCACATAAAAATAGGGCCTGCTAGATAATAAATACCTAGATCTTACATCTAGTAATGCTTTAGTATACAATTAATTAAATTTAACACTTAAAATAAATATAAAATTAATAACTTACTTGTCCATTTTGCTAACCATGCATCTGTATCCTCAGTCCGTTCACCAGTAGGTATGGTCGTCAAATAAACAAAAAATATTAAACTATTTAAACTAATAACCTTATAATGTCTATATTTGGATTATTCGATAAACGATAATAAAAAAAAAGATAAAACCCGTAGGTACTGAACGTATGAACAATGAAAATAATACGGCGAGACTCGCAGTGACATTTTCTAAAAATAAATATCAATAATTTAAAAACTTTTGATAATGATTTGATTTTGATGACCAGCTGTAATACTACTAAATATATTTTTAACATTTGAAATATTCTATTTATTACGTACAGTTAATTTCTCAATTTTCTTTTACATTTATATCTAATTTTTTTTATTACATTTAAAACAATAGATTCTTAGCAAATGTATACATTAACACGGAACCAATTAGCCTGGGCCATGGCCCAGATGGCCCAGGCCGTAGTTCCGCCTATGTTTGCCAGAGCCAACGAAAGAAAAATGGGTGGAAATTGCAGAACTCTATTATAACATTATAAATTTTCCTAACTGTATTGGTGCGATTGTAGGAAAACCCATCAGGTTAGTCAAACCAACACATAGCGATTCATTATACTACAACTATAAACATTTTTTTTTAATTGTTCTCTTAACTGTTTGTGACGCAAATTATTGTCTTATCGCTGTAGATATCGGAGACTACGGAAAAAAATAGCGATTCGTCAACTTTTAAAAACTCAAATTTTTACGAAAAAATTATTAAAAAAGAACTGTCCATTCCCGAAGATTCAGTTCTTCCAGAAGCGAGTGACTTTAAACTGCCATATATAATTGTGGGAGATGAAGCGTTTGGTTTAAGTCATAATATAATACGTCCTGCCGGAAAAAATTTACCATTTAAGAAAAGAGTGTTTAACTATAGGCTTTCAGTAGCTCGTCGGTTTATCGAGTGTGCTTTTGGTATTATGTCTAATAAATGGAGAATATTTCATAGGCCATTAAATGTATCCAAACCATTCGCTGAAAATATTATAAAAGCATGTGTACTTTTACACAATTTTGTTCGTGTTCGAGATAGTAATTCATTAAGGTTTGAAGACACATAATCATATGAAGGATTTCAAGATGAAGATGAAAGAACAGACATCTATCCAGGAAAAACACCTACTACAATTCGTGATAAATTTGCCGATTACTTTATGGGTGAAGGGAGGGTTTCTACTTCATGGTACTCATTGAAACAATTTTTATTTTCATTACTGCACAAGAATGCTCAACAATGTGAACACTTTGATTTTGGTCTCGACTCAATTCCACGTGTACTGCACAGTTCACACCTCCATCTATTGGCACCGTATACCACCCGTGATGCCATAAGACCATGTGCGATGGATCGACGTACATCCAAAACATTCGTGTCACCAAACATCTCACAGTAAATGACGTAGGCATTCACAAATGTAATGTCCAGGAGTCCCCAGAATATTCTTAACCATAATTTATTTGATTTTCGATCAACATTGTACAATAATCTATATCTATCAGCTAAATCGACACCTCCCATAAAATTATTGTAGTCTTTTACCACCGAAGGACATTTTATTGTTAATTTTGAACCATCCTTCATCGTTCTTAGAACACTTGTAATTTCGTTTCCATGATAGTTAGATGCAAAATGCACAGTTTTATTATCACGCCACTTGAATACACCAATACCAAATGTAGAAAAACGATAGTCGTAATCGCCACGTGCAATTGCAGACTCTTTCATCAAATTAAGTGGCATTTCTTTCCGATTAGATCTTATGGTGCCACATGCCAATTTCTGTTCTGTCTTCAATCTTTCCAGTAATATTATAGAAGTAAAGTAATTATCGAAAAATATAACTCGGGACTGTTTCCAATATGGCTTGGTTAGTTTTAGCACTATTCTTTCTCCCAGATTGAAATCTTCGAATTCTCGTTCTAGGGCCTCATTTTTGCCTTGGTAAATTGAAAAATTTAATATGTATCCTTTTTGATCGGCAATACACCATAACTTATACCCACGCTTTATAGGTTTCATAGGATTGTATTGTTTTAGACTGCTGCGTCCTTTGAACTTAATCATTGACTCGTCCACGCTAAGCTCGCGAGTTCCATTATATGCTTCAGAAAATGTTTTATTTAACGAATCTATCATTGGACGTAACTTGTAAAGTTTATCTTTATTATTTACTGGAATCGCGGTATTATCATTTACATGAATATTTGATAAAATTTCGCTAAATCTATCTCTGTTCATAACTTCGGAAATAACTTGTAAATGTAGGTCTTTTGCTGTACTCCAATAGTGTCTATAAGACGATAATTTATGATAACCCATGCAAAAGTTAATCCCAATAAAGCCCATTAATTCATTTGCAGATAATTTTAGTGTTTTGTTATTTTGTGTCGCATATAAATTACTTTGATCAACGATATGATCGGTAATTGGATTTAGAAGTTTCACAAAAATATCTGTCGCACTTTTAGAATTCTTGAACATCTCTACATTATAGCTTTTATTTTCATTGTATAACGGTAATTCAATAGTGCTTCGTCCTTCTTTCTCCACTGTCGGTTTATTTCAGTTTGAAGTTCTGAGTCTGGAGTTACCGGGAAATTAGGAGCAATAACAGTCGGGTCATTTTGAATATTATTTTCAATAAGTGTAGAAGAAGTTCTTGGTCTTAAAATTCTCAAGTCTAGGATTATCAGCATTAGTAGAAACGACATTATTACCATTAGATAACTCAGGAAAATCAAAAACTAGCATGTCATCATTATTTTCTAATATTTCTAAATCCTTACTACTAATTTCTATGTCTTCGCCAGTTCGTAAAAATAAACGATCAATTATTTCTACCTGTTTTATAGCTTTTTCTTCCATTTGATTTTCATCCAAGTCGAATTCGTCCTCAGATAGTAATTGATTGTGTTGCGTGCCGTCGCTCAATCGTATATGATGGTTAAGTTTTTAAAG